GAACCCACCCGTTCTGTCCTATCAGGGAAGGTCAACAGGTCGCTATGGCCATCCAGAATGCGTCGCAACTCAAATCTGCTTTCTGGATTGGCGGAACTACTCTCTAGGAGAAGCTATGGAGGGGTCTTCCTAGCATGGCACTCGCCGAATTCCCTCCTTGCTTGCTTAAGTTTATCTCCAAGTACCAACAGTGTGAGGTGGTCATGGAATGTGGAGAAAAGCGTTGCTTCATAGGTGCGAGGTCATGTGTTCGAGCGTGATCTATTTCGGAAGATCCTTGTGAGTCTAGAAAGCGCGTTCCCGTTCTTTTGTCAAAATTTCTCTCACTCGCTGCAGAGAAAGAGTCAAATGTCGGCTGTTCTTCAGATGTGCTCCTTATTTGAGCTTCATCACAAAATTGAACGGTATTCAGATGGTTCCTTAATGAGTCGAATTGCAGCACACCTACACCACATGCTCTTGAGTTACAGTCACTCAAGAAAATATGGTGTTTCTTCACCGCATGTGCTTTTGCATGTTGCAGTTTGACTCATTCATGAACCATTTGAAAGCCGTTTATTTCTGTAATAAGTCTCGAAAAAAAGTACTTCTAAAGAAGTGTCGGCATTTTGCTCTTTTCCTGCTGCGAATGAGAGCAAGATTGACAGAATAATGGAATAAACGTACTTTCTAGACTCATAGAAGATGTTCCAAGAAAAAAGCAGAAAAGCGGTTCGAACACCTGACCTCACTCCTATAAAGCGACATTCTAATCCACTGCTCTACTGACCGCATGACACCGTTGGCTCTCGAAGTGAACCTAAGCGACACAGAGAATCGGCGGGTGCAATGCTAGAAAAATCTTTCGTAGCCTCCTAAATAGTTGTTCCGCAATTTCTGGAAGCAGGTTTGAACTAGCGTCCCGAGACGCACACGTCGATATTCATCCCATTTTGAGTGGCCATGGCGATCTATTGACATTCCCTGATTAGTACTTTTCAATCTGAGCAAAGTTCCTTCCAAAAAATCTTCTTCTTCATCCCGCCCCTCCTTCTGCGCTTTGTTTTATGAACTCACTACGACTATCACGCGTGGTTTGTGTCTGTCAATGACTGCATCCCTGCTCATTAATGAGGATTAACCTTCTCAAGTGAGGCTTATGCGATCCAAATTGAATGTTGCCCAAAAATAATGGCAATCCTAATCTTCTTGGGATGAGTGACGGTCATGTTTCCTTTATTTAGATCTGCAGTACGACGTGCAGTTAGAGAGTGGTTCTCGATGGTGACCGATGCTCTCCCGCCTTCGTTTGATGCGAGACTGTTCGCAAGAGAATGCGTCAACCGTGAACGACACGCAGCCACCATCGGCTGCTGACTCGTTCGCGCGGAGATTCGCTTGTGTGAACGAATCGACTTCACATCAGCAGTCTGGCATGTTTGTCAACTAATTGGTATAACATTTAGTGTGACATGAATTAAGCGAGATTTTTCAGTTTAACAGAGCCTCCATCATAGGAGCCATCGTAAAAGTGCTACTAAAGTCGTTCATTGAATCGATACGGCTGCAAACATATGGAAAGTTTGCAGTAGAACAAATACAGGTCGGCAATTCTCCCGAATTCTATGTTTCCTTCTTTTCAGGGTTCTTATCGAGTACTGTTTCTAGGTAGATTGCTATTACCTTCAACGAGGAGTGTCACCATTGGTAGCGGATGAGGTCATAGTGAATTCTATGGTAGATCAGGCTCTTTCCTCTGCTCTAAAGCGATGTGTGGCTCCAGAGCTGGTTCATCCAACTCGACTACGGCAAATTTGTGAAGATAAAGGCGGAGTAGAGTCGCAACTTCTGTGTTAGTTGGTAGTGGGGCAGCCACGAAGGCTTTAGAGTTTTCTTTTTTGCGGTTTTCTGCATATGTCATATTTCGGGTGTAATTTATTGTCATATGTGATCGAGATTTGTGAATGATTGCTTCTGGTCTCATAAACTATTTGCTTCTCGAGTGTTCCTCATTTGCTATTGAAATGGATGTGAGAAACTCCATTGAATTCTTGCAACGTGAGAAACTTCCCATTCCTTCGTTTCCGCTTTCGATGTTTTAACATGTGTATACTAACGAAAAATGCAAAGTTCACGACTTCGTAGTTTCAACATTCGGAATGATAGTTTTTTGTGCTTGTCAGGGTTACTTCAGTGTTGTGCTTGAGTACAGTTTACGTCAAGGTACTCGCTTGAGTGGTCTTCATTCGAAAGTGTTCTCAGTTTCGGACACTGCGAATGAGGGGGCAAGAACGGCGTTCAACGATCAAGTCCCTTTACTGAACCTGTTACCAAACCCATCTTTCTGATTTCTGCACTTTCCATCTTGATTTTGCTCGTTTACTGTACCGTTTATGCATAAGAAACCGGCTTTTCTCATCCTGAAACCTCTCATTGTCCTCGTCATTGTTCTTCATTTTTTTCTGCGATGAGATTTTCAGATGGAAACTTGACAAGGCCAAACTTTCGTTCTTTTCATCGTTTTTAAAAGCTTAAGCACTGCCCAAAACTCGAGAATTGCATGCTACCTCCTCAAACGCCTTTTGCCTCCGGCATCTCTGACGCCTTTCAGGAGTATGCAGAAATATCCAAAAAAGCCTATCAAAAGTTAGTCCCAACTTGTTACTTAATTTCACTCATTCGCTTACTAAAATAATAATAGG